CTTTTTGCTTATGTGGTGCTGAGGAATCGAACCCAGGGCCTCATGCATGCAAGGCAAGCGCTCTACCACTGAGCCACCTTCCCAGCCCCTTATCTTTGCCTACTTTCTACCTGCTTCTCCATCCTAGAGCATATGGACACTTAGCTCTTTTCTTTTGTATTTCCTGCAAGGCCTAACATAGGGAGCATGACACATGTTAGGAAGCTGGTAAATATTTGGTAAAGATTTTATTTCTCTGCTTTGGAAAAAAATGCTAAAATGAACATGTTTATTTAATCTGGAACCCATGGTTTAAAATATTTTTCATTTCAGGAATGGCTGATGGGTGAGTTACCAATCTGAAATCTAATTTACATCCAATCTGGAATCTGAAAAAGGTAGATATGCTTCAATCTGCAATTGACTTTGAAATTGTGTTCACATCTGGAAGTTTTATAGACACTCTGGAGATAAATCTGTTCAAAAATGGAGGCAAAGGGAAGGGCAAGTCATAAGCATTAGCTTGCCTCCCTCCCTCCCTCCCTCCTTCCTTCTCTCCCTTCCTTCCTTCTTTCCCTCCTTCCTTCTTCTTTCTCTCTCCTTCCTTCCCTTTCTTTCTCCTCTTTCCCTCTCTCTCTCTCTCCCTCCCTCCCTCTCTCTGTCTCTCTCTCTCTTTCCCCCCTCACTCCCCTCTCTCTCCTCCCCCTGGTTTTAATACAGAGTATCTCTATGTAGCTCAGGCTGGCCTAAAACTTGCTATATAGCTCAGGCAGGCCAGAAACTCATGATCTTCTCACATCAACCTGAGTACTAGGATTACAGTACTATAGTTTGCACATATTTCCTTTTGTTGTTTTTTTTTTCTTTTGGTCGGTCGTGGGGCTTGAACTCTGGGCCTGGGTGCTGTTCCTCAGCTCTTCAGCTCAAGGCGAGTGCTCTACCACTTGAGCTACAGTGCCACTTCCGGTTTTCTGGTGGTTTATTGGAGATAGGAGTCTCATGGTCTCTCCTTCCCTGGGCTGGCTTTGAACCACGATCCTCAGATCTCAGCCTCCTGAGTAGCTAGGATTATAGGCGTGAGCCACCAGCGCCTGGCTGCACATATTTCCTTTATATTCACTTATATATTCAACATATCTGAGCATCTTGTCTGTACTAGTCACATATAGATTTTGAGCACACACCAAACCAAACAGATACAAATGTCAGTTCTTATGGCACCTACACTCTAGGAGGGAAAACAGGAAAAAAGACAGCTAACAGAAAAATAAATATTAGATGTGTTTTTAAAGTGCAATGGTGAAAAATAAAGCTGTAATCAGAATAAATTATACAATTTTAGACAAGGAAACCTGTTAGGAAAGAAGCCTCCCCCCAAAAGTGGTTATTAAGCAAGGCCCAGCAGGGGGAAGACAGGGACAACAGTCCAGGCGGAAGAGACCACAGAAAGGAAAGAGCATATGCGACCAGTTCCATGAGCAACAAGCAGGCCTGGGCCTGGAGCTGAGGCACGAGGGGTGGAGGAAGAGGTAGACATTACTTTCATGGTTATCCATAGGAAAAACCACTACTGAAAAGATTTTAGGCTAGGTATAGGAAGAGGGGAGAAAAAGGAAGGGGAAAAAATGCCATATTATCAAGCAAAGTTGGATTGATCTAGAACTTCCCCTGGAATGTAGGGTTTCTGTTATAGTAATCTAAGGTTCACATTCTTCATAAATGCCAACAAGCGAAAAGAATTTGGTCCATTAACTTCCACAATGGGAGGGCTTATTCTAGTTCTCAATATCATCTCTAAACTATTTATCATTTGTACTTTCTTAGTGTATTAGTCAACTTTCCATGGTTATAACAAAATGCCTGGAGTAACTACACTTAAAAAGAGAAAGGCTTTATTTTGGTGCACAGTTTTGGAGGTTCCATGAACAATTGTCTCATTGCTTCAGGCCTGTGGGAAGGCAGCACATCATGGCGGGAACATGGGGTAGAGCAAAGCCACTTATATCATGAGCCCAGCAGCAAAAAGGAAGGAAGGAAGAGGCCAGAATCCCATAATTCTTTTCAAGGGGATGGCTCCAACAGTCTGAAGATCTCTCATAGGGTCCAGCTGTAAAAAGTTCCATTTTCTCCTACCAGCACTACTCTGGCCACAATGTCTTTAACACATGGGTTGGAACGCATTCAAGATAAAAAAAATACAAACTTTACTGCCTTATAAAACTATAACTTCATAAAATTCTGCATTTGGTGAAATAAGAAGTAGATATAAGTAAGATCTGACCATACAGTATAGTTTCCATTGTTTGACCCCAAACTCAGTCTAGTTCCTGGTTTTGGAGAGCCTTGACTTCAAAGGCTGCTTGGTCTCTTAAAGGCTAGACTCTGTCTGCTGTCTACCCCTCATTGCCTATACAACTCTGCCCTTTCCTCTTCACTGGCCATGGGTGCATTTACCCATATGGTACAAGGCACAAATCACACTAGCAAATCATACTAGCTCCTTTATTTTGACTTCTAAATGTTACTTCATTGTGATGGGATATTGACTTACAGATAGGAAATCAGTAACTGAGATCAGAAAAGGAAGAAAAGTTTCTGGTTCTCTGTCTCTGTCTCTCTCGAGCACTTTCTCATAGCATGATAGATCTTGTGATCATTGACCACCTACCAAGATATGTGGCCCAGTTCTTC